CTCATTTCTTTCTTCTTGTTTACCAAGAAACAATGATAAACATTAGATATAGATCCAACACGCATAATCATTTCATTTAATTGTTACAAATCTTGATAATACATCATATATATTGAATGTATTGTTTTACCATATAGTCGGTTCAAATAGCGAGAAAGAGAGGCTTGTGTAACTCCGAGTAGAACATCGTTGATAGTCTAGCAACACGCGTAAAAGAATCCAAAGATCCATTAAAATTTAAAAGAAATGAGTTATGAACATCGTTGATAGTCCTCAAATAAGTTATGATCACAAAGCGTACATACCATATTCATAGCGTTCTTTATAAGTTTAATGTCATCCAAAGAGACAATTCGGTGATAAAATCTCTTTGGATTACTCCCAACATCCGCACCACCCTTTAGAGGCGTCTTTGTATCCTTCAAGAACAAAGTAGTTGCCAAAAGCAACAACATATCTACAATTGTATTCCAAATCAGTCTCGTTGTAGAACCAATGGTCAGTACCAACCTTTTGAACCAGCCTTTGTTTCTAAGGCCGTGTGACACCATTTCACGCCGTTTCATGGAAGGAATAGCAGTAGATAATGCGTCCGGGTCTGTTGTTTTATGTGTACATGCGATCATGAGGGAAATCAAAGACATTCCATCTCCCAAAGAATGGTGAGATCTTATTACACCTACTGCTTCAGCATCTGATGTTTTGACGTTAAGGATGTGAATGTCCCACAAGGGTTTTGATCTATCAAGAGGAATCATCGTGAGACGTGAGATATAGTCATCAACGTAGCCATCTCCGGCTTCAGCTATATCTTCAGGATCTATGTATGGTACAACTACATGGTCTTCTACATTGACTTCTGTCTCGATCCATTTTGCACCATTATCAGACTGCAAAGTTAAGACAATGGAGACCCAAAACTATGTCAAATCTCAAGTAGTGAATTAATTAGGTACAATTTTTACATGTATTATAAGAACATGACCATCTTACACTATATGGAATTCAAGTGCAATCTTTTTTATCAAACATATATTGAAAAAAGGGCACCAATTTATATACCAGGCTGATAAAATAAGTAGTCTAATTTTGAGCAAAAATCAAATAAGTGACCATAGTGGCAAAATAGTATAAGTATGGGGAATGTGAGTTTTGCGCGGACTGGCAAAAATATGTTTTTACACTTTTGCAAAGTTGTGTGATTTTATAAAATAATATGTGACATGATCTGGTAAAAGGCATATATATACATGGCAACGTGTTTTTCTGATCAATTAGTGCTATCGAAAAAAACATGTTATTTTTCAAAATCACGCATGAAACAAATACTAATTTTAGAGATAAAATAGTAATCAAATCACCCAAAAAGTTTTATTCAACAAAAAATGTCATTACAGTACTTAATTTATAATGAGATATAGTTATTTTGGTGTATATCATTTTACAAACGATAATATTCAAGAATTTTACAGAAAGTTTTTTTTTTTTTAAATGGATCCATGTTGGAATGCAACAATTACATAAGTGATGAAAAATGACACGTAGAAAGAACATGTGTATGTGAGTACCAGTTTGCTGGAGAAACGAGGATGCTTGGAGACATTATGCTTCAAAGCATCAAGAACGACTTCGGGTTTAATCTTGGTTTTGAACCCCAAGATGGTGACCGCGCAATAGTCTACTCCCGGCGATTGAAATACACGCGCCATCGGGCTAAGCGG